TCAAAATGAACAACCACAATTTTTTAACAATAAGGTGTATTGTGTTTGCTGAGCACTAGTTACCTATAATGAGAATTTCAGATGTGTCTTCAAGTCCACTACTGATCTGGTGAGTGGGAGGTAGGACACTGGGTAGAACAGTATGTTAAAATGTCACAAAACTCTTTTACTCAGATTCAGCTGTTTTTCTTTTGGTTAGACATCCCCGTGGTTGCTATAAGCTTTTGATTGTTTTCAAGGGTTCCAAAAAAGTTGATGCTAATAGTTTTTGCCACTTTATTCATTGCTTTTATGGGTGGATGGACTAGTGGGGTTCTTTATTCCACCATTTTTGCTAATACTATTCCCCTAAACCATCATATATTCATTGCCTATTGATTTATGTTTACTAAATTTTAATGAGCCTGGAAGCAGGTAGATAACAGCATTTGCATTTTTAGCAAGTTTCCAGATGATGTTGATGATACTTGTTTGGGAACCACTGGCCTAGAGCAAGCAACATCAAAACTGAACCTTGAAAGAATAGGTAGAAATTAGCTAAATTAGGTGTTGGTATTGGGGGGGGAGGGGCAGTAAGGAAAGCTGAGGGCAAAGGTTCAGACAGAGGACACCTGCATACAGTCCACAGGAATGTGCAGATCTTTAGGAAAGGGAGAGTGGTGAGAGATAAGCATGCTGACGCAAGGGGCAACCAATATTTAAAAGCATTTGAAGGCCTTTTACCATACTAAGGAGCTAGGATTTTGATGGGGAGCCACTGGAGCACTATAAACAGGGAGTGACATGATCAGAAGTGACCATTGTGGCTTCAGAGTGGAGTCTGGATTGAAGGTAGGCAAGACCAGTAAGTAGACTATTTAGGAAACTACTATAGGTTGATGACCAGGAGCTAGCATAGCAGTGAAGATGGAGAAAAAGAGAAGGATTTGAAAGATATTTAAGAGGTAGAAATTAAATTCTTGATCATTCATTTCATGTTTGAAATGTAAGTGAGAAAGAAAAATTAAAGTTTATTCCTAGGTTTCTGCTTTGATCAAATAAGTGATGCTAGTCATTGAGAAAGGTAACACAGGAGAAAAGTAGGCTACAGGAGGAAGGAGTAGAGAGAGCGATGACTATTTTAGGACTCGTTGATGTCTAGTAGGTCGCTGAGTAGAAAGATCTTGAGTTCAGAGAGATCTAAATAGAAGATACAGATTTGGGTCTCACCAGCATGCAGATAACTGAAACAGGGGTGTCTATGGCATTCCCTGGGTACAGTATTTAAATAAAAAAAATAGATCTAAATGGCTACATTTAGGAGGTCCTTGGGAAATACTACCACTTAAAACACTGGGGAAGCAGAATCTGCATCAGAGGCTAACAAGATGCTAACAGAGGAATAAGAAGAAAATCAAGAGGATGTGACATAATGGAAGCCAAGTGCTTTAGCTGTGCTGAGAGCTGGAGAGAGAGCAAATAAAAGAAGACTACCAATATCAGTTAGATATTGCAGGAGTATAAGTCCTAAGTTTTATGAGCTCAAACCAGAAATGTGTGGGAAGTGAAAAAGTAGAGGCAGATACTCCAGTGACAGCCAGTTCCTGGGTTGCCCTTTTCTTTTCATTGTTGCAACATCATTTCCATGAATTTATCTACTAGTAATAATGGGAACTGAATATATTCTTTAAATATGCCTTTTTAAATTCTGTCAATATCTTGCCATCTTCCTGTATATGTTACCGCTTTCCTTCAGAAATAGTGAAATCTTCTGAACAGATGGTAGCCTAAAACTTTATCTATGAAAAAAATAGTAGAGAAAGTAATCTAAGAAATTTGATTATTGTATTTTTTCCTACAGCAGTATTTCATATAAATACATATCTAAGGCTTTCATTTTTAGAAGTTGGTATCTAGGGAATGCACCCATATAAACTAACAAGAGTTTGTTTTTTAAAGATATGGCACAATTTTCTCATTTTATTTGAAGGCAATGCTAGAAAAATTCATCTTCTTCCATTTTACAAAACCCAATATCCTGAAAGGCTCAGACTGAAGTGCAGAGTTGTGTTAGTGTGTTTCCTAGTATTCAAAAGCCATTAAAACTAATAACTAACAGGAGACTCATGAAGTCTTTGGCTTTGGTTTTTCCTCTCTGGAAATGAGACTATGGGATCTATGACAATCTTGAATTCTCAGACTATACAATAAATACCCAAGAGGTCACCTGGAAAACATAAAAATGTCTTATAATATAGAATTCAGATTTATTGATTAAAGGATTACCAAACTGGGTTACGTCCTCTGCAAAATGCAACTTACATTTCCTGCTTTGTACTTTGTTATGTTATGTTATTCTCCACCTAGAATATCTCCTTATATCTTCTCCACTTTCCTCCATTTCTATTGGTATCCATCGAAGTCCAGATCAAGTATGACCTATTCTCTTAGGGTATTAGACTTATTAGCTACATAGAATGTAGATTATATGCTATTTTATATGGTAGTTATTTGTACACTTATTTCTAGTTAGATTGTAAGCTTCTATAACTATATCTTATTCTTCCCAGGTTGCCTAGCATGATACCCAGTATATGATTGCCACTTTATAAATATTTGTTCATTATAATTCTATTTCAATTTAAATTATGTCTAGAATTAGAACAATTATCTTTTTTCTTCCTGCCAGCCAAAATATAAAAGACCATAAAAATGGACCAGATTTCCTCTTTTGAGTTCCTAGTCATTCAAAATGTAGAATTCATCCATGTATGACCAGAAACAATTATGTGTACCTAGTGGCTACAAGTTTCTCCTACAGAAAATAAGATTGGCATGGCAAAAACATTAATTTAAAAAAAATTCTCTTATTTCTAAGAGTTCTCTGAATATTTTGATCTACTAAGTACAGGAAAAGGCTTTCTTTATGGGATTAGTCACTGGTCAATAAACTAATAAACTTGATAAGCAGAAAGGCATTAAAGTAAAATGTATAAGAGAATATAATTTAAAACACACAAATAATCATTTACAAATATGTTTTAAATAAGGCCCCTTGTTTGACTATGGGTCTAATGTTTGGAGTGGATTCTTCTCTTTCTAACATAAAATATTGTAGTGCATTATCTACTGTTCACACTGTTGGTTCTTTAAATAAGACCACAAATCTAAAGACTTTTTAAAGCATTCTGAGTATAGACTCTTTCTAGTTTAAGTTTGTTTACTATCCCAGTGTATTACAGTTTCCTCACTTTCCCCTAAGTTAACAGCTTATATAATGATTCACCCACATGGAGTCTTTCCAAAGCTTTCAAGATAGATTTTATACAAATAGGTCTCCTTTTGGTTCACAATCATGTGTAATTATTTTATTTATAATCTAGTTAAATTATATAAGATGATAACAATGGGCATGATTTGGGGGTCACATACAACCGATTCTTAACAAGGAGCAATCCAAGTAGTTAGAGTAGAGGTGTTTGAGGCATACCAGACAGAGGTAGCAAGCTAACTGCTTCTGCTAGCATTTAGCATGCATGCATAGTACTCAGTGTGTTTTACATAGAGAATGGAGAATAACCAGTAATATGATAAACTAGTTAAGTGGAGAATGGTTAAAGAGATCTTCTGCTATACTCTTTTTTTATACATATTTTTCTGACATTGTTCCACAGCAAAGTTGAGGGTATTTTATTCAATATTAAATAACTTCATCCTACGTGTTAGCTGAAGGACAATGGAGTTAAAGATATAGGGGAAAGAAGGATAAATAAAAATATGCTAAAAAATAACTTTCTTTACTGGGTGTATTGTGTTTATTCTGGAAGAGCTACCGAAGGTCTATAGAGAGAGAAAAAATAGTATAATACATCTAGGCTATTTTAAGTGTGTATGTTTCATTTCTGGACTTAAAATTATTTTTGTGAAGAATTCATAGGAATACTTCATAAAACTTTTTGGAAAGAATGAGATGAAGAAGGGAATAGTTGAAGGAGGAGAAAAGTTGAAGAAACAGCTGAAGGAATGAAGGAGAAAAGTTGGGAAAATAAATTTATTTTGGCCTTTTGGAAATTGATTCCATAGTATCATAAACCACTCATGGCAATTTATTTCAAGTCACAATTTTGTGACATAAAATATCAGAATGAGAGTGGGGAGTTAAAATTAGCTAAGAATATTCTGGAGATAAAATTAAAGAAATGGGTAAGCAGAAGGACCTCTACAGTAAGTTTGGATTTTGTCTTCACACAATAACTAGAGATGGAATAGTTCATTCTTAGATATAACTTAACCCAGTAGTTCTCAACTCTGGCTATTCATTTGAATTACATACACAGAAAAAAGATTTTTCTTTAATCACTACATTTCTTATAGGTCATCCTAATCCTCTTCTTTAAGATGGTGATCTTAATTCAGTTACCCTGTTTAAATATCTCTTTCATTGTTTTCATATATATTTCATTGTTGTCTTTGGTAATGTGATGAAATAATTACAGAGAGAGGTCATTTAGAATAATTTTCAGAAAATAGCTTTTATAACCTTCTACTGTAAAAAAGAACTGGCTTGAGGAAATTGTTCACTTAGCATAATATTGTAAAACCCAACTACTCACTTTCAGGACTATTTTTGATCCCTCAGAAACCCTATCTGAGCAATGCTTCCCTATGGATCTTTTTTTTTTTTTTTTTTTTTTAGATCTTGATTATTTTCCTTGAAATATTAAGACATAGTGAAAAGAATTCCATCCTTTGCAAATCTTTTGACTCACTGGCATCTAATGTAGGATATCTGTTTTGCTATTGGAAGATAAAAACTAGAGTGAAATGAAGTGAAAATACAAGCAATATTTGTTTGTATACAAACAATACAAACCAATACTGTTTCTGGATTTTTTTCATGTTAAACTCTGCATAAGTAGAGTTTTGGTGGGTTTAAATTTCACCTAGAAAAAGAAAATATTGTGGAGTTTTACTTTCTGAGTATTAAGCTTGCCTTCATATTTTGATGTTTGCTTTTCCAGGGTTTTGAAAGTGTTTCTTTCACGAACAGCCCAACGGATTCCATATATGACTGGTGGACGGGTCATGAGGATGCTCGCAGTAATGCTCCTGGTAGTATTTTGGTTTCTTGTTGGCTGGACTTCGTCTGTTTGCCAGAATTTGGAGAGGCAGATTTCACTTATTGGCCAAGGGCAAACATCTGATCACCTCATCTTCAATATGTGCCTCATTGAGCGCTGGGATTACATGACAGCAGTTGGTATGTGGTCACTTGTTTTGTGCACTTGCCTTGTCCTTTTCCCAGTGGCATTAAAATAGACTTCTGTAGAAGCCTTACCACGCCCCTTTATAAAACTGAAAGGAATTTCACCTGATATGGTTTTGGTAAAACAATATTATGAAAAGACAATAATGACATGTGGAATGCAAACTTTTTTCTGAGTTTTCATTCTTTTTTTCAAGGTATGTAGCTTCGTAGCTTTGTTGAGAAAATGTGATCAAGGAAATTAGGAAGGAGAAATGCAACAAATGCAACTTCTTTGCACAAAGAGACTTTCTGCTTTCCATCTTCTCAATGTATTTGCATGTGATTAACAAGTAGCTATTCTCTTGATTTATTTCTTTAGTTGGAAGAAAAAAGGAAACATGCTGGAACTTTTTATATGGGCTTGGTCCTGGGGATCAAACTTAGGATCTGGAGCACTCCCTGTGTAGAGATTTTGCTTGCAAAATGTTTAATCTATCTTTCTTCTGAAGATCATTTATTAGGAATTCTCTGGAGGTCCAGTATGACACAAAAATGAAGCCATGCTCTTTGGGAGTTAGTGAGAGTTTGATGACTTAGAAACTAGAGAACTTGGGAGAAATGAGGAAGAGAAATCAATAGGAATTTTTCCTATTGTTAACATTAGGCTATTTTAAGCTAGGCCTCTAAAGATACAAAAAAATAATGAAAACCAATTTTTATTACTTTGTTGTCATTCCCCTCAGTAAACCACAGGACAAATCTTAATTTTATTTGGCAGATGTCAAAAATAAACACATGAGTTTAATTACTATTTTCTATCTCCCCCATACTTGGCAATTGTTGGTTGAATATTCACATTTAATATTTTGCCAGAAGTTAATAAAATGTGTATTTAGTTTATAATTTAAATGTAATAATATTTTTCTGAGCAAGACATTCAGAAATTTTATGGGCCTGATATCTATAAGGATAAAGTAATGTGGGTATATAAAAGGAATGGTTATATTGTTAATATGTAAAGCCAATCATCATTATTTTGATTAATATCAAAGAAGATATCTGAAATTATCATTAGATCCATATCAGTAGATATCAATATCAGAAGATGAAGCATAGAACTAATATGATTCTGACCCTCAAGTGGATATGAAAATTAAACAAATTATATAGATATAAGGTTTCCACTCAATATAAATCTCTAACATTACTTTACATTGTTCAATCCAAGTTAGCCAAAATAGGAAAAATCATTTCCCCGTATTACTGTCAAGAAAAGCCCACTATATTTCTTTTCTGTTTTATAATACTCAAAATACATCATTGGATATGGAATAAACAAGCAGAAAGCATGGCCTATTTACCTAGCCTTTTTTTGTATTTTGTACACCTTGGTTTTGAGATATATTCAAGGCCTTTTAAAAATTTCTTTCATACTCTAAGAAAATAAGAAAATCATATTTATGATCTCTGATGTCTATGTAGAATGAATAAGAATATATAGCTGACAGTAATCTGTAATTTATTTTATATAAACCTTGTTTATATATAAGGAAAACTTTCATACAATAAACAAAACCCACTGGGTATCTATAATTTCTCTAATACTGTGTTGAACACTTTGCAGGAGATACAAAATGTATAAAATCTGTATTTGCTAACCAAATAGCTTACTACTAGTTTATATAAATAAATGGAAATTGTTAAAAATTATTAAAAACAAAATTATGTGGTAACGACTCTTGTTACAATAGCAGTTCAATAAAGGAAGATAACAGTCTGGCCCAGAACCCAGGAATCTTTATAAAAGAGAAATTCTTTGAGCCATGGGTAACATTTAGGGTATTGTAAAGTGGTGCAGAGAACATTCCCTTTCATAGGAATAGTGGTGAAGGTGGATGGAAATTGTATGAAACGTGAAGGAAATGCCCAACTAGAAAAGAAGGTTATATTGGAATACATTGTGAATAATGCTAGATAGGTAAGTTGATTGTGAGTCTTGAAAACCTGTTATAGGAATTTGGAGAACCAGGAATGTGATGTGATGATGAATCCGTAAGGTCAATCTAGATTGCCTTTAGGAGAGAGATATGCTTAACTCTCTCCTAAAGGCATATATAGATATATATATATAGATTAGATATAGATATATCTCCTAAAGGTACATATAGATATAGATATACAGATATATAGATGTACCAAATTCAGGGGTTTTGATTCTACCTAACCATTAGAATGGAGAAAGAGCAGTGGCTCTCAGAAGTGTGGTCTCAGAACCAGTGGCAGCAACAGTGCCTGAGAACCTGTTAGACAAGCACATTCTTGGGCCCATCTAGAGACTTCCTTGGTCAGACCCTGGAATAGTGGGGCCCAGCAGTCTGTGTTTCACAAGCCCTCTAGGTAATTTGGATGCTATTCTAAAGTGTAGAACTACTGACTCGAAGGAAGTAATCAGATGAACTTACTAAAACATATATCATTTCTCCAGCTGTGCTCTGTATATAATCCTGTTTCCCTGAGCAATCACTAGAATGTTATTCACAATGATTATTTCAAGTCTTGTATTGTACTCCCTCTTCATACCTTCAAACTTCCCATAATCCTCTTTTCTCTTAGATACCTCCTCCTTGAAAAAGTAAGTTGGAGCAGTTAAACATCAATTGTCTTCCAAATCTTGTCTACATATATAGGTCTTCCTATATTTCTATCCATTATTTCTTCTCCTTCCTATTACCTAAATTAACCCCTCATCCAACATTAACCCCCTTATCTCCAGTGACCTCTCTCACTTCATATGACTTTCCTGTCTTCTGAAATCATTCATTGAAGGATTCCATTCTGGGGTGTCTGGGTGGATCAGTCGGTTAAGCATCCAACTCTTGATTTCAGCTCAGGTCATGAGCTAATAGCTCGGCATCAGGCTCCGTGCTGAGCATGAACCCTGCTTGGTGTTCTCTCTCCATCTCTCTCTGCCCCTCCCTCACTCATGTACACACATACTCTCTCTTTCTCAAAATAAATAAACTTAAAAAAAAAAAAAAGAATTCTATTCTGACCACAACATTCTCTCAGATTATTTAACTACTCCCTCTGTGATAGCTCTTTAGATTCATGGGCTATTTTTATTGTACTTTACTGCCACTAGACTCTGCTTCTCTCCAGAGAGACAACTTACCTGGTAGCAAATTTTTCCACTAGCAAGGATGAATCTATGAAAAAAGTAGACATTTTTTTTAATACAGTAATTCTGGATAATACCAGAGAAGGGATACACAGAGAACAAGGAGGACCCAATGCTGACTTTCCTGATGACTGTGGGGGTAGAAGGTACAAGAGAGAATAAAGACCCACTGCTTGAGAGGGCTACAAGTAATACTTTTTCTTGGACAGTAAGCAGGTCTTAGTTAAGGTGAGAAGAGAAGCTAAGATGAGAAATTATGATGGGAAGATCTAGAGCATGGCTTTAGGAGTGAGACAAAAGTAGTGAGACTTGAGAAGCAAACATTAAACTAACACTCCCATGGATGTTAAAATGATAGCATTAGGGTCTCAGAAAATAAAATACTAGTGATAGGCGCAGAGACCAGGAGAGGAGACGAAGTCAAATGGTGGTGGTGGCATTTTGTTATCTCCGGGCATTGGTTTGGTCCTACGAACTACTGGAACACCTTAGTTTCAATAACACCCTTTTCCTCCAGCGACACGTTTCTCTAAAGGAAGTCAAGACACATGGTTTAGCAACAGGAACAAATATTTGAAATTAGGACTGTCTTAAATAATCAGAGACATGTGGTTGCTGTGATTTTTTTTTTCACACGATCTATAGCAGTTCCATTTATTTATCTTTCACGCATCTTTCATTTTTCTTTCTAGTGCACGTAGCACCAGATATTCTGTATTTAACTTCCTTTAATTTAGTTTTTTCTAATGTGCAGCAGATGCTTCTTTGCAGTTCTCTCTATATATTTCTGTAAGTAGCATGTTTGCCCTTAGATTTTTTTTTGGTACTCAGACTGTTATTCAGGAGTAAATTCTTATATCTTCAGTCAGCCAAAGAGGAAACCTCAACTAAAAGCTGAATCATTCCATTTCCCAAATGGAAATGTTTCTATATAGGGACAGGCTATATATGGAGAAACAGTAGATAGGTTTTACCTGGAGGTTGTGGAAAATCTTTGTCAAGAAGCTCTGTACGCTTACATCAGTGTTAGGAGTCAATTTAGAAAAAAAAAGAGAAAGGAACAGTTAATATGTTTATAAACATGCATTCTGGACTTTCCCTGTCAAAAAGGATTTAGTTTTTAAAAATACAAAATAAGGAACCATTTGAAAGAGTGCAGTGCTAGTCTTCCCACTGAAGTAGAGCTCTAGGTAGAAATGTGGGTCGTTAAGTTTAAAGAATTTGCTCACTACACAGGGCATCTCCAGTACTGTTCAGACACGTGATTTCCCTGCCACAGGTGTTTCAGAAGAAACAAGTATAGAAACTGCTTGGGAATGGGGCGCCTGGGTGGCTTAGTCGGTTAAGCGTCCGACTTTCGCTTAGGTCATGATCTCACGTTCGTGGGTTCGAGCCCCGCGTCGGGCTCTGTGCTGACTGCCAGCTCAGAGCCTGGAGCCTGTTTCAGTCTGTGACTCCCTCTCTCTCTGACCCTCCCCTGCTCACGCTGCCTCTCTCTTTCTCTCTCTCCTAGAAATAATAAATTTAAAAAAAAAAAAATTAAAAAAAAAAAAAAAAAAGAAACTGCTTGGGAAAATCTCCAAACCTCTATGAGACTCAGTTTCTTCTTTGAGTTTCTTGTTTGAAAACACAGAAAGGGGAAAACTATGATTTTCAGAATCCCATCCTTATTTATATATATTTATAGTTCTTTTTTAATTTTTTTAATGTTTATTTATTTTTGAGAGAGAGAGAGAGACAGCACACAAGCAGGGGAGGGGCAGAGAGAGGGAGACATAGAATCTGAAGCAGGCTCCAAGCTCTGAGCTGTCAGCACAGAGCCTGACGCGGGGCT